ACAGCAAAGGAAGGTCTGACATACTGTTTCTGTCTGTTGTTTACCCGCCCTCTTTCCCCACAAACACACACACACACACACACACACATACACACACACACACACACACACACACACACACACACACACACACACTAACTCCTGCAACACTTCCCATCAGGAGCTCAGGCAGCATCTGTCAACCTGTCCATCACTGTGCTTACAGCCTTCAAACTTTTATATTTTTTCCCTAAAAAAGAGTAGGAGGCAGCAGGCGGACAGAGAGAGAATAGCCTGACATTTAGGATGATAAAAAGAAAAAGTATCTAATGGATAATGACACATTTCTGGATGTAAATGTATTGTTGGGATTTTTTTTTATATGGTAAAAGCAGACACCGCTGACAAAGCCAGATTTCTCATGAACTGATGTCTAAAGTACTCGTCGATGCCTAATGAAAATGCCTGCACCAGTTTTGACTTCTTGCGTGCAGTTCATCATTTAGTCTATAAATGTGGAAAAACTGTCAAATCAGCCATCACAGTTTCCCAGAAGCTAACTTTAAATTGTTCGTTTTGTCAAACCAACACCATATTCCAACTGCAATGATATAAAACTTAGAAAAATACAAATCCTCACATTTAGGATTTATGCTTAATGAGTAACACATTTTTACAGAAATATCACCATAATATAAAACTTATAGAGTCCTACAGTGGGTAGAGAGGAGATGAAAAAACAAAAAATAAGCATAAAGGAAACAAAAGCTTGCTGAGACATGCTCTAATGACATCACTGTCAACTTAGTGGCAACAACACAGACTTCACTGCAAATTATCCCAAAAAATGCATCATTAATTTCATCTGAAAAACCATCTGCCGCACCAGAACGCCCCACTGCTCTTATTCAGTCAGCTATCATGCACAGCTTCTGCAGGACGAAGACTTATGAAGCCAATTCCAATTACCCCTGCGAAAATCTTTGTGTGAAATATGTGGACCATTTCCGTCCTCACCAGTGATGTGTGCAGGTGTGCAGACTTTGCAATTATCCTTTACTAACAAGGCTGAGTCACAGCAGCACAGGAGGGAAAAAAATGTAAAAATGAAAACACCCCCTCTCCCCTTGAAGTCTGACGTCATCTCCTGCCCTCTGAACAGCAGGTTAGCACGCGCACACACACACATACGCTTAAGAACGCACTAATGAGGTTCGACACCTCAGCAGGGTCGTCTACTAAGAGTAAACACTGACAAAACACACACGGGTTAATGCATAAAAACACGCCTGCAGCGTTTAATCCACCACGTGGCTGGTTTCATGTTGCAAAACTTGCGAGGAGAAACAAAACCTGCTGCATGTGAGGAAACCAGAACAACCTCAATAACTGAAAACACTGACAGGTGTTGTCATGTGTTTTTGTTTGCATCATGTTTCCTTAACATACATGTAATAAAAGTCCTTTAAAAGCCTTTAAACATCTCATTTTATATAAGAATTCCAATTCCAAAGAAAGCTACTATAATGTCCAGAGGTGTGGAATTGAGTCACGTGACTTTGACCACCACCTTTAACACCAGTGATTCAGGACTTGGACTTGAGCCTTTTGACTTGAAAGAACGTGATACCTCCCCCCAAGTCCAAAGATTAAAAATATGTCATGTAAAAAGTGTGCCACAAATCAATTAATTTTATTCCTTTTATCTCATTTAAACATAACATGCAACATCACTTTAAAGGAAGAACAGTCTTACAGAAAATGTCTTGCAAATTTTGGAAGAAAAAGTTATAGACTTTTTTCAAGGTGAGATGAGTTGAACACAACAAGACAGGTCAGAAACATGCAAAATTCATTCTGTTGTGGTCACCAGTGCAATGTCAGCATGACTTTTTTGTGATTAAGTTGTCGCGCTTGTTTTAATAAACTTGTCCGACTTGTAACGAATACAAAAATTTTAAAAATAATTCATGATTTCTGCAAATGTAACATAGTATTACTCTGCTGTTAAAGTGGCACTGCATTCAGTGAAGAGACAATTATGACTTGTTTAAGACTCGAAAATCTAGGTAGGACTTGGGACTTGGGTGCCCAGACTTGAAACTTAATTGTGACTTGCAAAACAACAACTCGCTCCCATCTCTAATAATGTTCCTTAGTAAAGATAATCAAGACGTATTATGTCTCGTTACATAGTTCAAGCGGAGAAGGCACAATCAGAAATTCAGAAAATCACAGCACATGGAAGTTCACACCAAAAAGAACACACACACACACACACACACACACACACACACACACACACACACACACAAATCCTACTCGGCTAGTAGTAATACCCTTGTGGCCAACATGCTGGTTAGTTAGTTAGTAAGCAGAGCAGAGTGCAGCAGAGAGCTGGTGACATGACAGCTAGCCAACCTGCCTGCAGGTAGCCATACACACACACACACACACACACACACACACATACACATAAATCCTTCAGTTCAGTTGGTTCCCATCCTTCTTATCTGACACATATTTCTGCATCACACACACACTTGCCCTGCAGCCCTCTTTAGCAATGTGGGTAAAAACGTGCATGAGCACATATGGGGGGCATGTGTGTGTGTGTGTGTGTGTGTGTGTGTGTGTGTGTGTGTGTGTGTGTGTACATATGTGTGTGAGGGATTGAGGGTACAATATTTAAGTGACGTCAGTGGTCCATTCATGAACAACACCCCACCTCCTCCTCCTCCTCCTCCTCCTCCTCTTCACTACGTAGCAGCTAATGCGATACAACGCACCACGTGGGGGTCCTTACCCCCTTTCCCAGCCAATCCGCGCTCAGCGCTTAACGCAGCAGACTCAAATACACACACTACGCTACACCCCCGCCCACACACACACACACACGTGTGCGTATGTACACATGTGAGGCTTAAAAGGTCTGCGTGCTCGAGTTTCACATGACACACTGTACAGGCAGAGTTCGTACATACATGAGGACGCACACATTCCTCCTGGCTGAGTCAGATGATGAGAGAAATTACAGTACAGGCTTGATCGAGAGATGATGAGGAGATGATGAGGGGAAAGATGGAGAGATGGATGGGTGGATGAAAGGTAAAAGAGTAGGGGATGGATGGAAGCGAGGGAAGGAAAGAGGGGTAAAAGGGAAAGGGATGGATGAGGGATGAGGGATTGAAACGTGGATGATTGGCTGGCGGCGGGGCTGTCGTCAAAAAGAGCGGAAGCAAAATGAAAACAGCTCTCATCCCTGTTCACTTGCCTTGTAAACAACCACTGTCTCTAGGCGAGAGAGGCGAGCCTCAAGGGAGGAAGGGGAGGGGAGGAGAGGTGGAGAGAGAATGAGTGAAAACAAGATAGCACTGCATCAGGAAAGATATGAAAGACAGAGAGGGGGATAGAGGGATAGAGAGAGCGTTGTTATGCCCCCACACCATGACTCATCTCCGGTTTCATACCCAGCAGGAGGAGGGTTGTGTGTTTGTGTGTTTGTGTGTGTGTGTACAAGAGTGTGCTGAGAGAGTTTGAAGAGCATGCTACGTGCATCTGTACTTGAATATGTATTTAGAGTGAGCGAGAGGCACAGAGAGTTGTTGGTATGTGTGCACGATTCAAGCTTGTGTGTGCCGATGATGGTGTGTGTGTGTGTGTGATGGTGGAAGGAGAGGGAGGCGGGTTGAAGGTGGGGGGTGCTGCTGTCACAACTGGGAACATTTAACAAGTCCCCAGACGATTCCAGCTTAATTGATTCAAGGCTACGGCCAGTTCAGCTTCAAGTGCGCCATCCCCAAAAAAAAAAATGTTTCAAAAATCTGGATGAACTGCTCCCATCCGTTAATGATCAGCACTAACAGGAAGACATAATATCCTTCAGAGGTTCTCCAGGCAATTATGAGGAGTAGGTGGTCACAAACATGCCCTCTTCAGAGGCGAATGCCCCACTTACATCCCATTAATCCTGCTCACACCTGACTCCCAGCATCTGTGTCCACATGTCGAGTCTTTGTTGATGTTGTTGTTGTTTTTTTATACAGGTGAGGATGCAAGACTCATCCAACCCAGGGATACAGACAGAGCTCTGACTTTGAGGAGGTAAACAACAGCCACTCCCCCCTCTTCTAAAGCCAGCTAGATCTGCACAGCACGAAGCAGCAGGAGGAGGAGGAGGAGGAGGAGGAGGAGAGGGTGAAGGAGGCAGAGAGGAGTTGCTCTAATTCCTTGATGTGTGTATATGTGCGGTTGCGTGCTCAGCCTTCCTAAAAGCTGTGCTGCTCCCCCTTGGTTTCCTTTCCTTTCCTTTTTTTTCTAAGGAGTCAAGGAACCTGCAAACCCTCCAGGGACTTTGGAGCGTTTTGGTGCCTCCACCCTGCACCCCAGACCTGCTGCTCTCCTCACAACTTCATATCCTACCGTAGTAACCCCCCCCCCCCAACCACCTCCATATGTGTCTAAAAATGTGCGTGTGTGTTCCTGCTTTCACATTCGCCTGCAAGTTACAACTCACATTCCTCGCTACGCTGCTGCAAATGGCCCTATTTGTCGCAATTACGCGCAAAAAATAACCACACTTGGACATTCTCCAACTATAACCCCGCTCGCGCATTTGAATCCCACCGGGGGCGCGTTCACGTTTGCAGCCAAGTTTACCCGGTTAATATCATCCCTGTGCGTGCACAGGACCGGAGCTTTCAAACCGGTTATTTGTCTTTCCTGCACTGCAACGCATACACCATGCACCCCTCACCCCCCTCCCCGTTGACCCACATGCACCGCTCCGGGTACCAACACTGTACGCGCCCCTGCCCGCTGACTGTGACTGACAAGCCCGCTGTAAAAGTGCGTACAGAGCCGCTGCTGCCCTGCTGCTAGCCTAGCTCTGGTAGCACTTGCAGCAGCAGCAGCGGCAGCGGCGGCGGCAGCAAAGTGGACTTGAGCGGTCCTGCAACACTCCCACTTTTACATTTTATCATTCTCATCCGCATATTCAGTGGCTGGCTTTTTATTTTTACCTTGATCGCAGTCAGCTTCGGGTGCAGAGACGTCCACAGTCCTGGACGGTGGGCGATATCCAGAGATTAGGAGATCATTGGGAGCCAGGCACATGTAGTTGTACAGTGGAGGGTTTAGCAGTTTGCCCACTCAGTGCCCCTGGCAGGCTGCTAGCAGTGCTGCTAAACAGCCCCGACTGTGGATCCACGTTGGGTGACAGGACTTGTCCCTTCCCCTCCCTTCCCTTCCCCTCGCGGTGCGTGTTGACAGCGCGTCAGCTCTGCAAAGACCGGCCGCCGAGAGTCCAAATCCGAAATAAAATCCAAAAGTGGCAGCCAGACTTGAGTTGCAGCCTTTTTACAAGTCAACAACAACAAACACTGTGGTGTCGCCGCTGGGTCCTGCTGCTGCTGCTGCTGCTGCTCACAGTGTAGCAGGCTGCGAGGTGCGCACAACACACCGCTCACAGGAAAGCATGTCGCATTTTGCAAAAGCAGCCCAAACGTGGTGTCAAAATCCCGACGATGTTTTCCTCTCCGGTGCCAGTTAGATCGGGGAGGAGGGGACGGGAGAGAAGCAAGAAGAGGAGGAGGAGGGGTAAAAAAAAAAAAAAAGGAAAAAGAAAAGGATGCTTTATTTCCAAACGATGAGTCAGAAAAGATTGCAAGCCAGTTTCGCAACGTCCCTCCTTCAAAAATAAAACATTGAGTTCTCCTCGTCTTCACTTGCTGCCTTGCCTCGCTTCCACTCCTCTGCCCGGTGTACGTGCACACACCGCTCTGCACAAATGCACAGGCGGGTCTTGTCTTGCAACCTCTCCCCCCACCCCCAGAGAGGAAAAAAGAGACAACACAGAAAAAAATCAGCTCTTATCATCAGCTTGAAAACTCTTTTGGCGCCATATTTATGGCGTACTTTCAATTCACTGTTACCGCAAGCTGCACTTCCTACTCTGAGAAATGCTAGATTACTGCGCCTCGGAGAGGAGAGGATGGGGATTGAACCTTCACCTGCCAATTTTCTGACAATAACACAGGCTTGTACTTGTGTGTGTAAAGTGTTGGAGTGGGAGATAATAAAAAAAAAAGCTGCATCTGGTGACAGTGGTTTCTCATGTGGCAGACAGACACCAGTTTAAAGAAAATAAGTTCCTGAAAATAATTAACAGGTTGATTTATTAATGGAGGATTCAATCATGCAGTTTGCAGTGCATCATCTTTCAAATATGTATAATGTTTTAAACTTATATTTATTAGAAGAATAAATGAAATAAAGTGAATTAATTTGAGAAAAATCTGCAAATTGAGCAGTTTTCTTTGAAAAATTATGTCACTCATAAATCAGCTTGGGTGAATCAGGTAAAGTGGGACAAATGAGGTTTTACATCTTGGGTTCTTTAGATATTAGCAGCCAGTCACTGAACATGTTAACTGCATTATTACTACAGATGTGTTTTACATGAATGTCTGGAACAACTAGGATGGCAGACCAAATATTTTTTTTAAATAAATCATGGGTCCCAGAAGCCATGTGTTATGTTGAGTTTCTCATTTTGTGCTCCAGTTAAAACAATAAGGGTGTAGCGCCAAAAATTGTTATAGGATGTTGCATTTTATCAACTGTTTGACTTATTATCAGAATATTTTCACAGTAGAGCGCTCCAGGGATGAAGTATATTTGTAGATGGACGCAGGAGTTAGTGTCATATTTTCCCATTGCATTTTGGATTATTGCATAAAATACGCTCTGTGGCAAACACACGTTATGATACTTACACATTTTGTTCAGGAAGATAATCTTTCATGACCTGGGTCTCCAACAGGGGGTCTGGGAGCCTCCTCAGAGTTACTATAGGGGGGGCCACCAAATGACCTCTAAATAATCTAATTAACTAATGAAAGTTTTAGTAAGTAAAATGTGTCTGAAAATCCACATTAACGTGAATCTAACATATTGTAAGCCAAGATAAATCAGCCAGTTCATAAAACCTATTAGTTAACAGTACACAACATTTTTGATAGGCGGACTGTTACCCAGGAAGCGTTATGTGATCATGTGAGCTAGCTAACGCTACATCACTGTGCAGCACCTGTAATTATTTTTGCATATTAGCCAGTTAGCTGTGTTACTATGTCAAGTGAACACATATTCTTGTGTGCCACAATGGATTCTTTCATAACTTTCTAACACACTCTCACACACTGTCACCGTAGAAACCACCACTGCAAGTGCAGAGGGTGAGGCTAACGCACCTAGCAATGCTACAACTGCTGCTTAATAGCAGCTAGCCAAGAGAAGACCCGAAAAATATTCAGAACTATCTCAAGTGCAAAATATATGTAGTAGGGGTCCCTGCTGTCTGTCTTTGGGCCAAGGGGTCCTTAGCCTGAAAAACACAGAAGACCTCTGTTTCATGATTTTTGAAACCTAAATGTAATCACTAGGTGTAAAGAGCTCAAGTTAGGTTATAAATGAACTACACCATGGTCACGTGACTTAAATGTTGCCTTCACACAAGGCTGTACATCATGATGCATGCTGACGTTCTGTAGTCTCATTTAGCCACTTGTCAGCAACCACCTTTTTAAAGACACAAAAACGCTTCAAAATTCACAAATGGGGTGTTTACTGACATATTTGATGTCCTAGAACAAAACCTAAGCTCCTAAGCTTGTGTTAGCCACACACTCAAAAAAAAACATTCAGTACGTTTACATGTACAGCTTAATCGAGCTATGCTCAAAATTCGATTTTGGCGTCTAATCGGACTTCTGTCCTTGTCCCAGTTTACATGCAACTGAGAAAATCGAATTACTGACAGAACTAGTCCTCCTCCTCAACACTAGGTGGTGATATGCGTCGTTTCAGCGGGTTAATACGGCCCCCTTTCTGGTTGACCTATTACGTCACTTAATAATAAACAACTGGAGTCAGGCGGCAGACCGGCATTTTCGAACAACAGATGGATAATCGTACAGCTTTGTTCATCTCGTACGTAATGTAAGCGTTACTGATTGTGCAGATAAGGTGCACGCTATCCCTCGTGGTCATGGTGATTTCGAGAGGCAGACAAGAACGTCGTATGCTGTTGGAGGGCTACAACAATAGCATGTCTTGTCTGTTCCGGGGTCATACGCCAGCGCGGGGGGTGTGGAGCATGCGCACATGGATTGTCTAGTTTAACTCCGATTAAGGCGTATACGTGCCGGAGAAAATCGAATTCCAATCGCATTATCTGGGTGTCTTAATCGGAGTTGTCCAGTTATAGTCGGATTAAGGCAATAATTTTTTTTTTTTCAAGTGTCATATAAACGTACTGATTGACTTTGAGACGAGGGAACTGGGAGTGCAATAATGCTAACTCATTTCTGGATTTTAGGACTCATTCCTTGAGCACCATATACACTTTACTTTTTATGGGAAACGGTTTTGAGTGAGCAATTAACATTCAGGTAAAATGGGTCAAAAAATTAAGCTAAAATAGGACATTTTTCTGAAGTGAAACCAAAATGTTTTTAGGCTTCCAGGTGCCATAATATCATGACTTATGCTATTGTGAGCCATTCTGTCATATTACAGACATTTGTAGTATTTTTGTCAATTAAAAATGTTACAGCTGTCTATTGTAGACATTATGGCACCAAGAAAACAGGCAGCAGCAGAACAGGGAAAGCATGGCAGAAGAGCTGAAAGATCATTCTCAGTGAATAATTAGGTTACATGAATCATTTAATGAATTACTGACTGGGCTGGTAAATTGAGTCAACCATTTAAAAAATAAACATGACTGTCCCATTTTACCTGAACATCAGATGTGTTGATCTTGATGTGTTTGAAGGTCCAAAGTTTCTAAAGTATATTACATGGCAACAATTTGTATTTACAGAAATGTAGTAGAGATACAAAGCAAGTCTTAAAAGTCACACTTCAGGTAGTCTTCGTAATTTGGTAATCTACTAAAAAGTGTCCCAATTACCTGATTTCACCCCTCAAAAGTGGCTTTATGATCACTTAAACTACCCCTGACACGTGACTGGACTCCTTAGCGTAATAAGAAGAAACTCATCTACATCTTGCAATTTATAGCACTATTTCAATGTCAATCTCAATTTATCCATCTCTTTTTAAATGTGATGTCTAATTCCCACCATCACCAGTAACTGCTGTCAACATAATTGGCAGCTGGAGCTTCACTTCAAAGTGAGGGCTGGTAGTTGCACTTTACTGTAAGTGATAATATCTCCCCACCAGTGATTGATTTGCTCGCAGTGATCCAAAGGGAATGGTTGGCAAGTAAATTACCTTCCTTCACATTTTCTCTAAAATCTATATTTAAAAGGGGAGGAGGGCGTTTGATCAATGTGTAATCTACTACCATCCACTGTCTCTAAATCACTGTTCTCGGCCTGTTATCAAGCAGAATTACATTTTCTCTTACTTTCTCTATGGTGTGATGTTTGCAGGGTGCAGCTCTCACAAACAAATCTGTCGTCGTTCCCCATGAAAACTCCCCGTCTCATTACATGTAAGTGTATGTGCAGCTTTTAACTCTGCATCTCTGCAGGGACGGACAGCGGATCATTTCAAGTGTTGTGATTCATCTTCGCTCAGCTTTTTTATATCTAAAATGTCTGGTCAATATACAGAGATGCAGAGCCAGGAGGCACACTAAAATTAAGGTCATTCGGATGAACATATGGGACGATTTTACTTGTATCAAACACACAAACCTGCACACACACACACATTTACACAGAACCACTAGTGCACAGGCAAGGATACACAAATGCTCATATCAGCTGTATCAGGTGTCACTCAGAAAGTGGAGAGAGAGAAAGGAGAAGAGGGTGTGATGCTGTTTTGCACAAAGTGAAATGAGGCGGTGAAGGACACAGAGGAGGGATTTCTCTGGCACACATTCAAATGCAACAGCAGCATCCCACAGTTTGTCCTCCCCTCCTCCTCCTCCTCCTCCTCCTCCTCCTCTTTCCCATAACACAGGTAAGCAGCAGCCCCTGAGGAAACAGCTTGTGACCCTCTCCATGGTCGTTTCTAATGTGAGGTAATGCAATTTACTGTCTGATGAGATGCACACATTGTTTGGAAGCAGATCCACTCAGATCTGGGTCAAATAGTCGCTGCAGCTTTTTAAGGGGTTTACAGCTGCAGAGGCTTTCAGATAATGTTATTGATACATGGTTAAAGGTGCTACATGTCAACTTTAAACCATTAATATTAGAAACTAATACGTCAATAGCCTTCATGGCCTGTACAGTTAATAGACTGTATTTGTGAAACAACACCATCACAAGCTGTGGTTGTGGAAATGACCAGAACATTGGATCAACTGTCTGAGAGTGAGCCTCTCTGCCTGTTAAATTTAAAGGAGGTAGGAATTATGGCAAGGTTTTTGTATTAGATTACATTGCACAGAGCAGGTTTCCCTTTTTCAAATGAATAGTACTTGGCCAACATGTTAAGGGAAAATTCTTGCATGCCTCCAAAGTTAACGAAGAATCCAACAACAGAGCAAATTCTTAATGACCTGGATGAAGGGGGGCCGTGTTTAAGAGGAGCAAAACTATAACTGTTTACAAGCTTTCACATAACTGGTGCAGAATAATCCAAGTCTCATTTATCCAATAGTATGTTCAGTGCTTCACAAACACATGCATTTTTGCTAAAACCTTAATATTCAAAGGGCCAATTTGTAAGATTTAGTGGCATCTATTGGCAGATATGGAAAACAGTTTTCATACTTAGGTTTTCATTAGTTTATAATCACCTGAAAGTAAGAATCGCTGTGTTTCCGTTACCTTAGAATGAGCCATGTCCATCTAGGCTACATATGGGACAGACAAATCAAATACTGGCTCTAGACGGGGCCAATTGCATTTTTGCATCAGCCACCACACGCTTGGCACATGGGAGG